TTAAAATGGGAATATAATTGAAGAGACACCTACTGGTTTAATAAAAACTAGTCTGTAAACATTTCCAAAAATAAAACGCTTTCAACGTTCATTGGCAAAAATCGAACACTTACATTTTCAACGTTTACCTTCAAAGAAAGGAACGCGTTCACGTTCCACGTTCGTTCAAAATTTTACAAATAATTTTATTAAAAAAATATTTCATCTAATATTTAATTTAATCTAAATAAATACCATATATATTTTTAACAAAATATATTAACCATGTTTAAAATTAAAAGTTTTTAAGTCAATAAACTAATATTTTTATTATTAAAAATAATTTCTTAGTAATTTTTTTATTTTCAAATGATTAAAAATAAGATAAAATTGAACTAAAGTAAAAAAAACTAACGCGCGTTCACCTTCAAAGTTCTTCAAAAATAAAAGGAACGTGGTTCATCATTTTTTCTCAAAAAAATGGACTTACTTCATGAACGCGTTCAATTTGAACTCATTTATTTACAAAATTAATAAAAAAACGACTCGTTCATTTCTCTGCTAAAATACCTAATAGTGCCAACCCCGCCCCAAGTTGTAATGAAGAAAAGGAGAAATATAGTTAATTTAGTGAACGTAGAAGATTCAGGATGGAAAATGAGCCTGTCAAAAATAAAATAATAAAGGTTTTATTTTTTTTAAAGTTAATTTCAACTATTTTTGGTACTAACTGATTTAAATAATTAATATTAAATATGCCAATAATGCTCAAAAATACCGATATTAATAACGTGAAATTATTATCCATAGATTTATATATAAAAATAGTTTGAATATTCAATTGAAACGGATGCAATTTTTTATAGAATCTATAACTCACAAAATGGTAATAACTTAAAAAATCTGGAAGAAATCTCTTTTTAAAAAAGGGAGGGGGGTCTTGAAAAACAAGATAATTGAAGATAGATTCTATGAATTAATGGAAATTAAATAATTTTAGTAACACATCTTTTTAAAAAATTCAGCAACAACATTCATCATAATAGCTTCTATTTAAAATTTTACAAAGTCTTCTTTTATAGGGTTGCCTTTTAAATTGACTGATTTTTTTATTGGATGAGATACATGACAATTATTTAAATTAAAAATGTCATCTGGCGGGTCATTTGTCAATGAATATTATTTTATTTTTTTACAAAGACTCTCATTTTGTAGAAACAATTAAACATATTCCGAAATACGACCTATATAGCTGCTTCCAATTGTTAAAATGATACACTCAATACCATGTCTATTAGGTAAATCAGGAGGTGACAAATAGGATTATCAATAAAGTAGTTCAATTTATGTGAAATTGATAACAAGAGTCATAACACATTCATTCATCAATAGTGGTTAGATACATAATTGAGAATCAATGAAATGAAAATGTTTGTTAACTGGATTTTATGAGTTACTTTCAAAAATATATTTAAAATATAGGATTACTTTGACATTTGTTCTTATTTACATAAATATTTTTTCCAAATAAAATCATCGTATTTCGACATTGTAAATCACTAATTGCTCTCTTTTTCAGGGACAAATTTCTAATGTTCATTTTATTTAGAAAAAGAATATATTATTTTCTATAACTTTTTCGAATTTTATTAGGACTCTACTACCTCATAAATATTTTAATCCCAGTCAGGCTTATAAAAATTGTGTTAAAGTGGGTAAGGTAATATCATAAATTTAAATAATTTTCTATAAAAAAATATATTGAAAAAAATATAAAAATTTCAAATTATGTAATAATTAATCTATTATAATAATCCTCAAAAAGTGTCAATTAAATTTAACCAATTGTGTTTTTTTTAAAAAATATTCGTCCAATGATAATCATCTTAGCAATATTAAGCCAATAGTAATTCTCATGTGATTTACAGATATGGCGAATATACTCAACACAATATGCCATATCAAATTTGCTAATGCAGGTAAAATATTCTTTTTTCAACAATAGATTAATAAAAATTATGTGATTTACTCTTTAAATTTCTGAACATAATAAAAAGGTAATTTTTATACATTATTTTAACATAAATTTTTATTTTTTTGTAAATCAAAGCTTATACCAAAATATATGTTGCTGAACACCAAAGTAAACATTTTTATAATATTGGAGAGTAGTTAAGTTAAAAACATTAATGAATTATCACTTCTATAAAATACCAAAATCTTTCAGTATAATCAAAGAACCAAATTGAAAATTGGACAGCGCTAGCCTGCCAAAAAAATTTGAATTTGAAAGATTCTTAGAATGCATCTCTATGTTATGAACTGATTTCATGACAGTGGTAATGAAATATAGAAAATTAATTAATAATTTAGTATTGGATTACAGCTTTGATTATAAATGTTTTTTTAAAAAAAAAAAATTACGATGTTTGGCTGAGAATATTTTGGCCTTTATTAAATCTGTATGTGAAGAAAGAGTTAATTATAGATTATGTTTATATTATTATTAACCAGTGATTTGTGATGTACATTTGAAATATATATTTTGTATATATATATCTAATCTATAAAATGGAGAAAAGCAATTAGAAGGTTAAATGACCTACCAAGGTAAACCTGGAAAAGGGCCTATAAATGACAAAGAACATATATATATAGCAGAGACATGCAGATATACTATTTGCTTAGCCCAGCCCAGATTTATAAATTCTTTGGGTTCAGCAGGGATTGTATATTTTCAGGCCTGGCCCAGAATTTTTATATATCATTTTTTAATTTTTATAGCTATTAATGATAATTTAAAAGATTTGGTTTTAAAATATATAGCCCAGCAATGGTATATTTTAAAAAATATGTGCAGCCCAGCAGTGTACCCGGGCATAAAGACAGGCCTGCAGGTCTCTGATATATAATTAAAAATCACCTTTATAACTTTTTAATGCATTTCTGAGTCAAGCTTGTAAATATTTTTACAAGACCCATAAAATTTGATAGCGTGCAATAACCTTTATGAAGGAAAATTGAAATAAATGTGTTTAATTATCAGCTTTAGAAACATTGGCAGGCTTTGGGTTTTGCTCACCTTTAATATATACAATAAATCCAATAAAATAATTATAATATAATCTTAAAGTTTAGGATTTGCTCTTAGTATAATATTATTGTTTGAAAATAAATATTTATATTAAAAAATTTAAGCTAATATTTTCATGAATTCTGTAAATAGATAATAAATTTACTAATTTATTATTCATAGTTTTGTACATCAAATTAAAATGGTTAATTATAAATATTATCTTTTGTATAAAAAATTGTTGCCACTACATATTCAAATATATCGAAACATGATTTCCTCAAAAATTTTTCCCTATTTATATTTTTCTTATATTAAAATACAATTTAGAGCAAATCTATTTGAGACCTGTTTTAGCATATATATATAATATGAAATGACTGGAGCTTGTTAAGCATTTCAGTAGATATGATGGTAATCCCTAAAATAAGTAATTTTGTCATGTTTTAAAATGATAAGTATAGTGAATAGAAGTAAAAAGTAAATTAAATAAAAATCACTAGTCATAGTATAATTAAAAAAACATCCTTTATCAAACAATACTAATTATCCAAGGTATGTATATAATTTTTAAATATCTAATATATATCAGTTTGATAGTGATTATTTAAGATATGTTTGTAATATGATGAAACTGCTCTTGGAAGAGGTCCATTGAAATATCTTTTATGAAATCGTTCATATGGATCATCCACATAATACTTTTCTCTAATAAAATCTTTTCCAGCCAATAAATCAAGTTTTTTTGACTGGGTACCTATAATAATGAAATATATCTTAATTTGATTTAGAAACCTCTGCAAAATACATGAGCCAGGGATCTAGTTTTTTGTCTTTGAGACATTTTCCATCTTCTTTTTGCATGACCCGATTTTGTTCTTATCCAAATACCCCAATCTAACCTTTTAAATCTTTTATAAACATCTTCACATCCTCGAAATTTACCATCTTCAATATGAAATCGAGTTATAGATCTTTAAAATTGGTGACATTATAAATATTAATAGTAAAATTACTCCATCTCGTTAACAGATATTGAATATAGTTTAATATTGATTAAATTGAAAATGAAGGTAGGCTTATTTTTTAAATTATGTATATAAAAAGGTTGGGTATTTCTTAAAATATTAGCAAAATTTTGCATCTTTGATAGATGAATAATTATAAGAAAAACATCTGTTACTAAATTGATAATGCTCAATGGTAGGGTAGCTATTGGCCGAGGATAGGTGTAACCTAGTTGCAAATAAGATATTGGCAACCTAGTTGCAAATATAATTGATGATATTGGTAACCTAGTTGCAAATATAATTGATGATATTGACAATCTTTTTGATGGCCAATATAATCGCAGATAGGTGCAACCTAGTTGCAAATATAAATAATGATATTGACAATATTATATAAAAACTGATATATAGCAACTTTTAAAGTGTAAAAATGTTAAAAAATGACAACTTCCAATGTTGGTAAATTTAAAAAATGTTAAGCATATACCTACTTTTAAAATGAGTATGTGTGTATTTGGATCTAACTGAAATTGAGAAGAAATATACTCAAATGAATTCCTTATCCTGTTAAATTAATATCTAAAATTGTGTCATGTTTTAAAATAGACAGCTGATATTATTCTAATAAAAATATGTGATCCTTCACCTATAATTTAAAATTTTTCCTACTTTTATATTAATCTAATTGTTTCCATTTTTTTAGGTAAAATATTTTAAAATTTGACTTTAATAATAAATAAATTAGAATTTAAAAAATTATATTTCAGTAAATTAAATGGATAAAATGATAAAAGAAGTTAAAAATACTGGAAATAATAATTAGGGGATTGTATAGGAAAAAATGTTATTAACCTCCAAAAAAAGCTATTTTTTGTTTTAATTCTAACATAACTTAAATAAAAAATAAGATAGAATCAAGTAAACATATTTAATTAAAATAATTTTATTCAATAAAAACAAATTATTAACAACTATAATTTTAATACATAAATATTTACAATCATTTTATAATATAAAAGACAAATATAAATACATTTAAAACAATTATAACAAAACTAGTAAATATATTTAACAACAATTATTACAAAACCAATGAATTTTATAAGGTTTTTTCTTAATTTTTTGACATTTAAAGTGGAACCAGCACAAACAAATATCATGACAAATCCAGGACTCCGCTATAATCTTGACTTGTAAATCTTGAACCTGTATCCAAGCTTGATTGGTCAAATATGATTTTATCATTTGAAAATCGACTTCATCATTTTTTAAACATTGCATACTATTTTTTATGGTAAGAATGTCATCAAAATCAACCATTTCATTATTATAAATTTTATTCTTTGCAGACCCTTTATAAATTTTATCTATAATCCATCTTGCCTTGTTTTCTTCAGACAAAGTTGTATAAGGTTAGATAACTTTTCTGATAAAAATAAATATATTAATATTATTTTTTTAAAATTACTATAAGTTATCTGACGATTGCCCAAATTTTTGGGTTTTGTATCACCTAATTTTAAATATTAAAATATTTATATTTTTAAATATTAATAATAACCTGCATTTATTTTCTCATTGATTATGAAATTTATAAACTCCATTTGAGAATTGGTTATAATTGGTGTTCCTAGTTAAAATAATAATATAAATTATATTATGATATATACCTTTTCCTATGTCCTCAGCAAATTTAGGTATACTCTAAATATCAAAATGTTTCCTTTTGCTTTTATTCCCTTTTTTAGATAATCCTATTACAGATAAATCAGACTTCCTCGGCTTGCCTTGTCTTTTCATCTGAGCTGGTAATTTCAGACTACAAATTTTTTCAAAATCTATATTTTCGTTGTCTTAATAGAAATTAGTATTTCGTGCAACCTTCCCGCCTTTTTTATTGTCCAATTATACTTTAGGTTTATTATATATAAATTTTAAATATGGCCATTATGACAATTGTCAGCTTGTCTATAGTACTATTCTGATCATCTTAAATTTAACATAGTTTACAAGTTTATTATTTTACCCTGTCAAGTTCAAAAATATTTAAATGGGATTAATAATGATGATTATGACAATTTTCAGCTGTCCATATCTATGGTAGATCTCCTCAGTGTAACTTTAATTTAACAAGTTTACAATATATAATATCTTCAAATAAAATTATATATAAAGATTAAAAATAATGATTGTGACAATTGTCACGTGTCTATAGTACATATTCATTGAACTCCTTAATTTAACAGGTTTACAAGATTATATTTTTAACCTCAGGTTTGCTTATATATAAAGTTCAAAGATAACAATTATGATTTAATTGTCACATTTCTATCACTGAAATCTTTATTTAACATGTTTACAAGATTATAATTTTACCCTTTAGGTTTATTATATATAAATTTTAATTATAAGATTTAAATTTTAGTGTCCATAACGATTTTGATCTCCTTATTGTCACTTATTTACAATGGTTACATCCACATTTAAATTTCAAGTTTAACATGTTTACAATTTATAATTTTACTCTGTTGCTTCATATAAATTTTGAACAAATAAATGGGATTATGACAATTGTCCCTGACTCTATGCAAAAGTAGCACCTTCACATTTTATTTGGTTGATATAGGTTTTAATATGGAGTTATTAGCTCCATTGCTTTAAATAAGTTTATAAACTAACGATTGTGATCAATCTCTTTACAATCATTAAAACCTATCGCAAGACATAGCTCAACAAATTATAAAAAATTGATCTCACCTATTCAATCACCTCAAAATAAACTTATTGCTCAAATTATATGGTCCTTCAGGCTGATTGCATAGCATATAATTCCATTTTCAAAGTATAACATGTATCTTGAATCCATGAGAGCATAAATTTTTAAGCCATATTTGGATGGCTTATTTGGCATGTATTGCTTGAAGGGACATTTCCCTCTAAAAGCATGAAAGCATTTTATCAATTGTAATGTATTGTTTCACACTATGGCATTTATTACAGTTTTCATTAAAATTATTAAAGATATCTGATATGTGTAGCTTTATCTTGTGCTTCCCTTATCTCCCTTGTATACAGTAGAGACCTTATTGGGCCTAAATTTTAGAACCAAGCCCGGCCCAGGCCCATTGTAAAAAAAAATTTTAAACCTAGGCCCAGCTTGACCCACTTTTAATATTTAAAAAATTTCCCAAGCCTGGCCCAAGCCCATAATATAAAATTTAAATTTCTATATTTTAAACGTTAGTTGTATTTTTTATATTTGTCCTATTAAATATCCTTAAAATAAGTTAAATTTGAATTTAAAAAGTCTAGTATACATATCATCAAATCTTAGCATTTTCAATAAGAATTGGAATAGGTTAATATTCATAGTATACCTGAATACATTCACTCCAAATCCATCATTACTCCATAGATCTCTTAAATTCTGATGATTGGATTTATGTATACCTGCAATCAATAATAAACCTATCAAAATATTTAATTGAGTTCAAAAATTTTATTTTTAAAGAATTTACCAAAAAATTTTAAGATCAAAATTTCAAAAATATTTTAATAAAGATTTCCTTACAAAAGATTTTATTTTATTATAAAATTCTCAAAATATTTTCTCAAAATTATAGAAGATTTTTACAAAAAATATTTTTTATTCAAAATTTTTTTTAGCGAAAAGATCTTCGCAAAAATTGATCTTCAAAGATTTTTTCCTCAAAATTTTGGGCGAAAAAAATCTTCAAATTTTTATTTGAAGATTTTTGTAAAACCCTGTGTCCATATATACTATTTGGGTCTCCTTATTAAGCTTTATATACAAGGTTGCAAATAAATTCAACAGAAATCAGGTAAATTAAATTTAAATTATAATATTTATAAAATTTTTAGTTGTTATAAAGATAAATGGCATTATATCTAAATGCAACATTTAATTCTATTGACACTTTAAAAAAGTCAATAGATATATATGAAAAGGAAAATCTAATAAATATATCCATATATAAATCAGAACTGTTGAAGTATCCATGTAGCATAGAGTTAATTAAACAATTTAAATATCAAAGAATATTTTATGTCTGTAAATATTCTTTGAAAAAGAGGTCTCGTTCAACGGGATTAAGGAAGACATCTAGCTTCCGTAAAGAGTGTACATTCAACTTTACGGTTATATACAAGTTAGATCCTATCGTTGGGCCTCATTTAGTCATCGTGAAATTTATGGAAGAACATAAAAATCATGATCTAAGTAGGAAAAATATTATATTTTAATATTAATATTTTATATTATCTAGATAAAAACATATATATGCTCCTACCTTAACAAAGAAAGTTGTCTCCAATCAAAAAACAGATTGTCGAGCAAGCTCTAACCTTCAAGGCAAACAAAGTTAAAATTCAGGATTATATTCTGAAGACAGGACAAATGGTGATGCTGAGAGACATTCACAATCTTTCAGCAAACCTAAACAAACCATCTACCAACATGTTGATCGATGTGGTCAATCAATTAAGAGAGGACAAAGATGCCATTGTAGAAATTCACGAAGAAAACAATGAGCTGATGGGCATCTTTTATCAGGACATAGCTATGCGACATTTTGTAAAATGCTATCCCGAGGTCCTGTTTATAGATGCAACCTATAAACTGAATAATCTTGGCATGCCTTTATTTATCTTAATGGTAATTGATGGAGATGGTCAATCACAAATAGCAGCTTTGTGGTTAGTTAAAGGAGAAACATACAAATGTGTAAAAACAATGTGTGATATTTTTGGGAGATATAATATCAAAGATACTATTCAAGTGATAATAGGAGACAAAGATTTTGCAGACAGGCAGGCGTTGTATGAAAGTTTTCCAAAGGCAGAAATACACATTTGTATTTTCCATGTTATGCGAAGTTTTAAACGAGAGATCAGTACTGGTAAGCGTGATATAGCAGAGCAAGATGTAAAGCTGGTTCTTGATATTCTACAGAGTTTAGTATATGCTCAATCACAGGAGCATTATGATTTACTTTATTTAAAACTTGTGAATTTAAATCTTCCAAAAGTTATGGCATATTATAATAATAATTGGCATAATATAAAAAACGAGTGGGTTATTGGGCTAAGATCATGTGTTCCACATTTTTTTAACTCGACAAATAACCGAGTTGAGTCAATGAATCAAAAGTTCAAAGCGGTAATAACAAAATTTTCAACCCTCAAAGGGCTATTTAAGGATGTAATTTCTATAGTTAACTCAATGGCATTTGAAAAAGATTATAGAAGCATTATGAACAATGAAAAAAGCTCATTATTTCCTTATAGTCTTTTATCAGCTGAGAGCAAATATAGAAATTTGCTGACCTATGCCTTTAAAAATATACTCAATGAAATAAATCTTAGTAATTCAATCAGCATACCGGTATTAGCCAATGACATGTTCACAGCCATAAAAATCAATGATTTAGGTAATATTTACAATGTATCTATGGATAAGTGCTCTTGTGGTTATCTTACCACAATGCTTTTACCATGCCGCCATCTAATGGCATTAAGGGCTGCATATAATATGGATAAATACTATCCTGAACTTTGTAATGTGAGATGGACTAGGAATTATTCAAAGAAATGCAGTCTTGAACAACCTCAAACGTATACTACAGACATATCAATTACATCGTTAGTATGTATGAATACAAAAAAAAATTATCACAGCAGCAAAAATATAACAAGATCTTAAAATCATTTGTACCAAAAGCTGCTTATATATCTAATCTACCCCAAGACAATTTTGACTTTGTATTTGACCAAGTTGAAAAAATGGATGATTGTTTTAGTGATGGAAAATTATTCTTCCTCATACCATCAGATGAAAGCATAGATATTCATTCTCTGATTAATAGTAAACTTAATTTATATTATTTTTTTTTTAAATAATATTCCCTTGCCCCATAAAGTAAATTTAATATATTGACATTTTAACAATGGCTGATTTTACAAAATTGAAAAATTAAATGCCATTAGATGGCGGCATGGTAAAAGCATTGTGGTAAGATAACCACAAGAGCACTTATATTACCTAAATCATTGATTTTTATGGCTGTGAACATGTCATTGGCTAATACCGGTATGCTGATTGAATTACTAAGATTTATTTCATTGAGTATATTTTTAAAGGCATAGGTCAGCAAATTTCTATATTTGCTCTCAGCTGATAAAAGACTATAAGGAAATAATGAGCTTTTTTCATTGCTCATAATGCTTCTATAATCTTTTTCAAATGCCATTGAGTTAACTATAGAAATTACATCCTTAAATAGCCCTTTGAGGGTTGAAAATTTTGTTATTACCGCTTTGAACTTTTGATTCATTGACTCAACTCGGTTATTTGTAGAGTTAAAAAAATGTGGAACACATGATCTTAGCCCAATAACCCACTCGTTTTTTATATTATGCCAATTATTATTATAATATGCCATAACTTTTGGAAGATTTAAATTCACAAGTTTTAAATAAAGTAAATCATAATGCTCCTGTGATTGAGCATATACTAAACTCTGTAGAATATCAAGAACCAGCTTTACATCTTGCTCTGCTATATCACGCTTACCAGTACTGATCTCTCGTTTAAAACTTCGCATAACATGGAAAATACAAATGTGTATTTCTGCCTTTGGAAAACTTTCATACAACGCCTGCCTGTCTGCAAAATCTTTGTCTCCTATTATCACTTGAATATTATCTTTGATATTATATCTCCCAAAAATATCACACATTGTTTTTACACATTTGTATGTTTCTCCTTTAACTAACCACAAAGCTGCTATTTGTGATTGACCATCTCCATCAATTACCATTAAGATAAATAAAGGCATGCCAAGATTATTCAGTTTATAGGTTGCATCTATAAACAGGACCTCGGGATAGCATTTTACAAAATGTCGCATAGCTATGTCCTGATAAAAGATGCCCATCAGCTCATTGTTTTCTTCGTGAATTTCTACAATGGCATCTTTGTCCTCTCTTAATTGATTGACCACATCGATCAACATGTTGGTAGATGGTTTGTTTAGGTTTGCTGAAAGATTGTGAATGTCTCTCAGCATCACCATTTGTCCTGTCTTCAGAATATAATCCTGAATTTTAACTTTGTTTGCCTTGAAGGTTAGAGCTTGCTCGACAATCTGTTTTTTGATTGGAGACAACTTTCTTTGTTAAGGTAGGAGCATATATATGTTTTTATCTAGATAATATAAAATATTAATATTAAAATATAATATTTTTCCTACTTAGATCATGATTTTTATGTTCTTCCATAAATTTCACGATGACTAAATGAGGCCCAACGATAGGATCTAACTTGTATATAACCGTAAAGTTGAATGTACACTCTTTACGGAAGCTAGATGTCTTCCTTAATCCCGTTGAACGAGACCTCTTTTTCAAAGAATATTTACAGACATAAAATATTCTTTGATATTTAAATTGTTTAATTAACTCTATGCTACATGGATACTTCAACAGTTCTGATTTATATATGGATATATTTATTAGATTTTCCTTTTCATATATATCTATTGACTTTTTTAAAGTGTCAATAGAATTAAATGTTGCATTTAGATATAGAGTCAAAACCGTTTAATTGCATATCGCTTAAGTGCAAAAACTTTTAAATGCGAAAAAACCCCGCGATTTTGATAATAATTACTATGGTATAATGTTAAATTACATTTATAATTGCGAATCGGTTAATTGCGAAATATCGGATAATTGCAAAATTTTTCAGGTCCCATTTTATGACAATAACGTTAATTTAATCGGATAAGTGAATAATAAGAAAAATTTATCGAAAAAAATTATTCATCATTTTTTTTATTTAACCTTTTTCCATTCATTCATTACCACGGCAGAAATTATGGTAAAAAAATTATTCCAAACACTAACCCTGAAGCATAAAAAAGAAATAATTGATAAATTAAACACTACATCAAAAACACAATTAGCATTAAATTACAATTGCCACGTCTCGACAATCTACCGTTTAATAGCGAATAAAGAAAATATATGCTCACAATTTCTAAGGAATAAACCTCCTACAACTAAAAGAGTATCATTTAATTACAAAACTCAGGCTCTTAATGGTTATTATACTTTTCTTGAATATGCTCATGAACATCTAAGCGATCAAGATTCACTAAGAAAGCTAGAGAATATAGTGGAAAAAGAATTATTTACTCCAGAGTCTAGCCAAACTCTTATCATAAAATATTTTTATTAAATCTTACATTACTTTATAATAATTGTGATGCATGTATAATAAAATTAGTTCAAATAAAATCTTATGTTAACAAAGCATTAATAAACTTTCATTCCAGCATGGTCTGTTAATACATTTACATTTATAATATTAGAATTCATAAGATTTGAATAGGCACAGGATTTTAAATCAAATATCATGTGAATGAAAACAAAACACTTAATAAACTTAAATTCTTTTATATTAATCTTATTGTTTCCAGTTTTTTAGGCAAAATATTTTAAAATTTGGCTTTAATAATAAATTAGAATTTAAAAAGTGATAATATATTTGTGTAAAATTATATTTCAGTAAATTTAATGAAGGTAAAATGACAAAAGTAGTTAAAATAAATATTAGGGTATTGTAAAGGAAAAAATGTTATTATTTTCCACAAAAGCTTTTTTTGCTTTAATTCTTACATATCTTAAATAAAAAATAAGATGATAAAATCAAGTAAACAAATTTAATTAAATAATTTTATTCAATAAAAAATAATTTATTAACAACTATAATGCTAATACATAAATAATTACAATCATTTTATAATTAAAAGTCTTGTTTTCTTTGTTCCTTTCTGTCTATAATCATGTCTAGATCTAAAGAAAATATAAATATATGTATCAAAATATATCACATTACTTTCAAGTGCTTCAGATATTTTAATATTATTTGATTGATTTAAATTAATTGAATACTTTTTATAAAATAATAACTTGATGAATTGACGATAAAAATATAGTATTATTAGTGGGAAGAAAAAAAAGCTATGATCATATGTTTCAACAAATAAGATAAATTTTTAAAATTTAGTTTTTTTATTCGTTACATAACTTATTCAAATTAAAATATATAGTTGGTTACATTAATTAAAAATTGTATTTATTGCAAAGTTTGATGGCTTATATGATTAAAATATATATAGATGATAAATATCTTTATAAAAAACACAAACTGATTTTTAATAAATAAATTGTTGAATTTTAATCGTATAATTGCGAAAAATCGGATAATTGCGAAATTTTTAAATATTTTGGTCCCAAGCTTTCGCAATTAAACGGTTTTGACTGTAATGCCATTTATCTTTATAACAACTAAAAATTTTATAAATATTATAATTTAAATTTAATTTACCTGATTTCTGTTGAATTTATTTGCAACCTTGTATATAAAGCTTAATAAGGAGACCCAAATAGTATATATGGACAGCTAAAATTTGTGTTTTTTAAAAATATTATAATTAAAATTTATTTTCAAACCTTTTATATAAAGCTCAATAAGGACACACAAATAGTATATAAGGCAGAGACCTGCATAGGCACCACAGCCCGGCCCGGGTATATTTAAAAAAATTAAAATACGGCCTGACCCCTCTGATATAAGGACTGCTAAAATTTGTGTTTAGGTGAGATGATGATTATTTCTTAGATAAGATGATACAGACTGATAAAGAGGGAAAAGAAAATAATAATTATTTTTATAGTTTAATATTCTAGTATTATATAATTTATATTATAAATTTAGGTAATTCTAGCTTGCCAGGTGTAAAATCTAATGTACAACATGCAACTTGACCATTAGAATGCTATAAATTTTTTATTACTCCAAATATTACAAATCTAATAATAAAATACACAAATCAAAAAATTATAATTCAAAAATTCCCTCATCTTCCAAAGTCAAAATTGATGCAACTCAATTAAATACTTTGATAGGTTTATTATTGATTGCAGGTATACATAAATCCAATCATCAGAATTTAAGAGATCTATGGAGTAATGATGGATTTGGAGTGAATGTATTCAGGTATACTATGAATATTAACCTATTCCAATTCTTATTGAAAATGCTAAGATTTGATGATATGTATACTAGACTTTTTAAATTCAAATTTAACTTATTTTAAGGATATTTAATAGGACAAATATAAAAAATACAACTAACGTTTAAAATATAGAAATTTAAATTTTATATTATGGGCTTGGGCCAGGCTTGGGAAATTTTTTAAATATTAAAAGTGGGTCGGGCTGGGCCTAGGTTTAAAATTTTTTTTTACAATGGGCCTGGGCCGGGCTTGGTTCTAAAATTTAGGCCCAATAAGGTCTCTACTGTATACAAGGGAGATAAGGGAAGCACAAGATAAAGCTACACATATCAGATATCTTTAATAATTTTAATGAAAACTGTAATAAATGCCATAGTGTGAAACAATACATTACAATTGATAAAATGCTTTCTGCTTTTAGAGGGAAATGTCCCTTCAAGCAATACATGCCAAATAAGCCATCCAAATATGGCTTAAAAATTTATGCTCTCATGGATTCAAGAACATGTTATACTTTGAAAATGGAATTATATGCTGGCAATCAGCCTGAAGGACCATATAATTTGAGCAATAAGCCTTTTGATGTGATTGAAAGATTAATCAATTTTTTATAATTTGTTGACTATATCTTGCATAAATTCTAATAATTTAAAGGAGATTAATAGATCAAAGTTTATAAAATTATTAACAATGGAGCTAATAACTCCATATTAAAACCTATATCAACCAAACAAAAAGGAAGGTGCTCCTTTTGCTTAGAGTTAGGGACAAGAAAACCCCATTTATTTGTTCAAAATTTATATAAAAATATTATAATTAAAATTTATATATAATAAACCTGAAGTTTAATTTGTAATCTTGTAAATAAGTTAAATAAGGAGATCAAAATAGTTATGGACACTAAAATTTAAATATTATAATTAAAATTTATATATAATAAACCTGAAGTTTAATTTGTAATCTTCTAAATAAGTTAAATAAGGAGATCAAAATAGATATGGACAGCTAAAATTTAAATATTATAATTAAAATTTATATATAATAAACCTGAAGTTTAATTTGACAATAAAAAAGGCGGGAAGGTTGCACGCATCCTTTGCGGTAGCTATTCGGTTAATGATGCTTACTACCAAGTGAATGTATGGAAATATTCTAAATACCAACCTAATTTGCTAAATACCGACCAAAATTTATTAAAATGTAATAAGATCCTTATTATTTAATATATTAATACGGAATCACGTGGTCGAGTCCGGCCTCCTATATATTATCCCCCCAAGGATGGAACCACCAAGTTAGAATAAGAAAAAAAACATGATCATTCCCGGGATTCAAACCCGGAACCATGGGATAAGCAAACCAAGCCTTGCCTACTAGGCCATAGAGGCTTTCCAAAAATCTCGATTTTTCAAATATATATTATAAATATATTTGGTAGTGCCTATCCAAATGAAAAATGAACAAAATTCTAAATTTGATTGATGGTACCTTAAGGTACCAAGCATCATTAACCTAGCTATTCCTTGCTCCTCCAAGCCTATTATATACTATTTTCTTTAAAATTGTTCAAGAGTTAAAATTTCTATGGCTCGATTACTGTTCATTTTTATATGTATATGTTTTCATCATTGTTTTTACTAGTAGAACAGATCAATACAGATAAGGCAATTATTATTATAGCACTACCATTCAGGTTCACATTCATTATATTGATCTGCAAAGCCCAGTTTTGTCAGTCTGAAACCTTTAAGAACTTTTGGAGAAGTTGCCTGGCACAGCTCATTAAATTTCTAACCAGCTCTTAACAGGGGCGTCGCTAGCCTTCACAATCTCAAGGGGCTCAACTAAAAACAATTTTATGGCTCGATTACTGTTCATTTTTATATGTATATGTTTTCATCATTGTTTTTACTAGTAGAACAGATCAATACAGATAAGGCAATTATTATTATAGCACTACCATTCAGGTTCACATTCATTATATTGATCTGCAAAGCCCAGTTTTGTCAGTCTGAAACCTTTAAGAACTTTTGGAGAAGTTGCCTGGCACAGCTCATTAAATTTCTAACCAGCTCTTAACAGGGGCGTCGCTAGCCTTCACAATCTCAAGGGGCTCAACTAAAAAAAATTTTATGGCTCGATTACTGTTCATTTTTATATGTATATGTTTTCATCATTGTTTTTACTAGTAGAACCAGAGTTGTACATTTGCTCAAAATAAAAAGATCTTCAAAGATCTAGATCTTTGAAGATCGTAAAATTTGAAGATCTTTTACTTTTAAAAAATTTTGAGCAACGATCTTCAAAGATCGAGATCTTTTGAAGATCTTTTATTTTTAAAAATTTTTTAACAGCGATCTTCAAAGATCTAGATCTTTGAAGATCTTTTATTTAAAAATATTTTTGATCAACGATCTTCAAAGATCTTCATATTTTATAATGTTTTATTTTTTTGATATTATTTTTTGAAGTAAATGGATTAGTAAGCATAAGCATGTTAAATTAAAATAAAAATTTAATAAAGATGTACCGACAATTTTCATAATCGTTATTTTAAACTTTTTTCGACATATATGGGTAAAAAAAAATTTATATAAAAAAAAATTTATATTATAATTTCAATGAAGATGTAATGTATTAAAAAGTGGAAATTGTAATAATCGTTATTTTTAACTTATTTGATTTATTATATCCTAAATTAAATAGGTTATAATTTTTAATATTAAGATGTAAAAATAAAATTTCAATGAAGATGTACCATAGAAAAGTGACAATTGTTATAATCGTTATTTTTGAAAATTTTTTTAAAGCATAGCATAGATATTATATTGTTAACATGTTAAATTAAAATTTCAGTGAAGATGAACCACAGGAAAGTGACAATTATCATAATCGTTATTATTGAACTTTTTTAAATTTTTTTAAAGCAAATGGGTAAAAATAGATATTGTTAATATGTTTTAAATTAAAATTTCAGTGAAGATGTACCACAGGAAAATGACAATTGTCATAATCGTTATTTTTGAACCTTTTTAAAATTTTTTAAAGCAAATGTATAAATAGATATTGTTAACATGTTAAATTAAAATTTCAGTGAAGATGTACTACAGGAAAGTGACAATTGTCATAATCGTTATTATTGAACTTTTTTAAATTTTTTTAAAGCAAATAGGTAAAAATAGATATTGTTAACATGTTAAATTAAAATTTCAGTGAAGATGTACTACAGGAAAGTGACAATTGTCATAATCGTTATTTTTGAACCTTTTTAAATTTTTTTAAAGCAAATGGGTAAATGAAGATATTGTTAACATGTTAAATTAAAAGTGAAGATGTACTACAGGAAAGTGACAATTGTCATAATCGTTATTTTTGAACTTTTTTGATTTTTTTTAAAGCAAATGGGTAAAAATAGATATTGTTAACATGTTAAATTAAAATTTCAGTGAAGATGTACTACAGGAAAGTGACAATTATCATAATCGTTATTATTGAAATTTTTTAAATTTTTTTAAAGCAAATGAGTAAAAATAGATATTATTAATATGTTAAATTAAAATTTCAGTGAAGATATACCATAAATAATCTTTATTTTTGATTTTTTTATATATAAAATTGAAAACTGATAATTGTCATATGTAATATTTTTAAACTCTTTTTATTAAACAAGGTTAGAATAAAGATATTTTGAAAATTATTTATTATTTCAAAATTATTAAAAAAATATATTGTTAACCAGGTTTGTTGTTAATAAGGTCCTATCCCATTTAATTTAAAAAAATAACCGATCTAATTTTTTTTAATAAAAAATATTGGCTCATTATGTTTCTTAAATTTTTGATGGCTTTTAGATTGTAAAATATTAAAAAGTGGTGCCTTCTAACTTCTATAATTTGAGCGTTATTTAAGTAAAGTCGTGCTTTTACAATGTACAACGACATTAAACAGCAAGAACTCAAATTTATATTACGAGCCAAATATATTTATGGATTGTCAAATTCTTGGTTTTTTAGTTTTGACAAAATAATAAACCTGACCTAACTTATTCAATTGGATAGATTTAGTTTTTTTTATACTGAAAATATTTTATATTTTTTTTATTTTAGTCTATCAATTCGAGTCGCGAAAGGCAGTTTTAAATATGAATATTTATTGTAAACCTAGCATATAAATATTTCTCCTTTTAAAATTCAACCCATACTTTTTGATCCTTCACTACAAAGGTGGAAAAAAATCCCTTAACTACAAAGGTGGGGTCTATTTTATCCCAAATTTTGATTAATATCTCAGAACATATTAAAACTTGAGATCTACAAATACAATTTTGAATATATATTTAAATATTATTGGAAATAATAAATACAAAATCTTAGATTAATAGTTACTTCTAAAAACAGTTATGCAAATTTTACTAAAGTTACTAAAATAAAAAATTTTTTCTGAGACCTTTCTTTAATTATATTTTGATCACCATAAAGTATTTAAAAAAATGCAAATTTTATTATATATTAGATAATTATATAAATTTTATAAAAAGATATCAAATATTAAATAAAATACTAATCATCAAATATCATGTAAATTTTTGTACTAACATTCACGACAAAATGTATGCATATGATCTAATGAATTTTTAACAATTTAAACAAATAAATGTTGTTTTTACCTCCTTCACTCTTGGACAATCTTTACATACTCCCTTTTTATTAGTTGGAATATGTTTTTCATCAGTTATATTGAGAATATCCCCAATGTTGTTACGTATTAATCTACATATACTACTCTCTAATTGTCCCATACATAATATTTCTCTATAAAATCAAGATCTACAAAATAATTCTCTACAAAATAATTCTCTACATTCATTTTAAAATCATTCTCTATAAACGACATTCTCTATAAAACCATTTGTTATAAATGCATTCTCTATAATTGTTTTCTTCTCTATAAATGTTTCTCTATAAAATACATTCTCTATAATGGTTTCTCTATAAAGACGTAAAACCACATTATTATTATTAAAAAAAATTTTATATATAATTCTTTTTATAATAAAAATAAAAACTTCACCCTTCGCCTTCTATTTTATTTGAAAAAAAATTAGTTTTAAAATTTTGGGTTATATTGATGGGGGATTTCTTAACATGTGATGTGTTAGTGAAATGGGGGATTTATTAAAAAAAATTTTAAGATTATATAAAAATCTCTCTAAAATTCTTTCTTTTTTATTAGTTATTCAGAGTCAGATAAAATATAACATTATATATTTTTTTTTAAATATATAATTCTTTATATTAATAAAAAGAAAAACTTCTAACGTTTCCTCGCCTTCTATTTTTTTTCCTTAAAAAAATTTTAAATACCCCTTTATTATAAATCATAATTTTCTTTTTCATTTTATTTTTTCTTTCAGATTCAGATATATTTGAAAAAAAATTAGTTTTAAAATTTTGGGTTATATTGATGGGGGATTTCTTAACATGTGTTAGTGAAATGGGGGATTTATTAAAAAAAAAATTTAAGATTATATAAAAATCTCTCTAAAAATCTTTCTTTTTTATTCGTTATTCAGAGTCAGATAAAATATAACATTAAAATATATTTTTTTTTTAAATATTTTTTTTATTAATAAAAACTTCAAACGTTACCTCGTCATGTAAGCAGGGTTGCCAGGTCAAAATTTTCAAATTGTGGGAGAAATTCGGTATTTTGTGGGAGTAATATAAAAATTGTGGGAGAAATATGAAAATTGCTAAAAAAAAAATTTTGCGGGCCATTGACTTAGTTATCCGCTTATTATTTTTTATAAATATAAAATCGAATCTATTTTCCAAAATAAAATAGGTAATTATTTTTCAAAATAAAATAGCCAACTATTTTTCAAAATAAAATAGCCAACTATTTTTCAAAATAAAATAGCCAACTATTTTTCAAAATAAAATAGCCAACTATTTTTCAAAATAAAATAGCCACCAACTAATTTTCAAAATAAAATAGGTAACTATTTTCCAAAATA